CACCGGCGAGGCGGCGCGTCCCGACTCCCGGCGCGGTTCCCTGGCGGCTCCTCGGTGGGGGCGGGCAGGGGCGGGCACGGCCGCCGCTCAGCAGCCCCGGCGACCCATTGCCGCTGCCGCCGCTGCTGCCGCCGCTGCTGCCGGTGCTCCGGGGGCCCGCTCGTCCCCACCGCGCTCAGCGCATCCAGCCGCGGCTCCGCTCCGTGCCCTGCGCTGCCCGCTCGGCTCGGCTCGGCGCGGTGAAGGCCGGCCCGGCGGGGCTCGGCTCGGTGCCGCTCGGCTGGGCTCGGTGCCGCTCGGCTGGGCTCGGTGTCGCGGTCCCCCTGCCGCCGCTGCCGCCCGCCCGCCGCGTTCTGCCGCGCCGCCGCTGCCGCCCAAGTTAAATACGCGCCCGGCGCGGCCGCCCCGCCCTCGCTGTCACTTTCGCCGCGCGCTGAGTGACAGCCGGGTCCTGCCGCCACCCCCCCGGAGCTGCCCACCCCCATCCCCGGAGCGGCGTCCCACCTGCGGCCCCGGCCCCGGGCTCACCGGGCGCGTCACCCCGGCAGCAGGCAGGGCGCGGGGCAGTGGCCCCGGAGCAACGGGGCACTGCGGGCCCTCGGCGTCCCCTGCCTGCACCAGCCCGGGGCCCGAGCACCGCACAGACCCCCGAATAGCCGAACCCCTCTCTCTGCCTCTGCCTCTGCCTTCCACAGCTGCTCTGCTGCCCCACCACGTCTGCTTCTCCACAGGAGCCCTCCCACCGCCAAACCCCCTTCCAGCTTTAAACAGAGCTTTAGTTGAGTAGGGTACCATGTCTTTAGAGCCCCTGGGCCAGGACCCCCGGGGCAGCGCACCAGAGTGGGACACTCCAGCGTCAACATCTCGGCACTCTCTGCAAGGGCATCTGCAGCCTTCCAGGAGCATCACTCTCTCTCTCTCTCGAGGGAGTGTCCCTGCATCCCTCAGTGCAGGGTGTGATAACCACCCACGTTAAACCAGTGGCTTTTCCTTCACCTCTTTCTCAGCTGTGTGGGGCTACATCTTTTGGAGGAGAGCAGGACTCACAACCTTTGAGGCACAGAGACTGGCAGTCTGGTGTGTGTCAACACAGTGAAACCCCAAACCCTCCTCACCTCCTTTACCTCCACATTGCTCAGCACTGAGCTCACACTTGAACCATGTCCAGAAATTGGACACACAGCTGGTTCCTCCAGACTGACAGTGTGTAAGAACATTCCTGCCCATGCCAGTCACTCCCTCCCAAAGCCATGAGATAACCAGTTACCCACTGGGGCCAAGGCAGGGATTGAGGTGGATCGCAGGGCCAGTTTCTCACCGTGATGTGCTTCTGACCCACCAAGCAAAGCGAGGGGCTGCAGTGACAGGCCAGCCCAGAGTGTCCTGCTGGCACATGCTGGGGTGTGCAGAGCTGGTTTCACTCATCAGACTAATGAACAGAGCATCTCCCCCAGGTTTCTGTCTCTTCATCATCCCAGAAATGCCAAATGTTGCATTCAGACAGGAAAAGAAAACAAAACTCTCCAAAATGGAGAGGTTGGACCTCCAGCCCTGAGTCTGCATAGAGTCAGAGCATCCCCTGGACTTTGGGCAGACAAAACTATGTGTGGCTCGGGAGCCAATCCCAGTGCATCCAGGTAATTTACACTGTGCAGGGGTTTAAACGTATCCAGCCTTTCTTCCCTTGCTGTGTATTTCTGCTATTGTGATCCCAGCTTGGTTTGCTGAACTTGGAGCTTTTCTTCACTCATTTGGCTCACACACATTGTGCAATCAGAGCCATGAAATTGTACCATTTCCCAGCTCTTCCAGCATTAGCTCTCAACAATTTGCAGTAGAGGTGGGTATTGTTACCCCCCGAGGCTGAATATTACCAGTAAGAATTTCTCATTATCTGTTTTCTGACCCCAATGCACATACGACATATGCCTTGAAGCAAAGGCAATCTGGATGTGCAGGATGTGCTCTGCCTTTGCTCGCTGCTGGGTGGGAAAACTCAGTGCTCTCAGAAGTGTCAAAATTAAAGCAAACACAGAAACAAGAAGCAGCTCAGGGCAGAGACACCCAACAGTCAGGAAGGACGCAATTACTCAGCGAGATGTACTGCTGTTGGCACTGCTGCCTGAGTAAATCCCGGTGAGGGGATTAACATCTGACTGTAATTGTAATAATAAAATCCGACATGTATACAGCATTTTTCATCCTGAAGGATCCCAAAGCATTCAAGTAACTTAACTCCTTCAGCTGTCTCCTGGACTTTATAAACACGCTTCTTAATCATCCTGTGCCAGGCAAAGATGCCTTTGCTCTGGGCACGCTCACCTCGCTTCGACAGGTCCCCCGTGGGAGAGGAGAGGAGGAGAGGCTCTCCAGGGTGGGCTGGAGAAGATTTCCCCTTCTGGAGGCAAGATTCCTGTAAAATGGTGCTTAGGACATCCCAGGAGCAGCGAGGGGGAAGGCACCAAGGTGTACAGGGGGCTTGGAAGACCGCAGTGGGCTAACTGCCCTGCTCTTGTGCCAACCAGTGGGAAGCATTTCACTTGGTCTCCTTCTGAACTTTCCAAGGGGAAAAAGGGGAATGAAGACAAGCCCGTAGGCAGGAAATTAAGGGCAAGTTCTGTCTGCAGAGTCCACCGTGAGAGCCAAAGGCTCCTTCTCCATCCCCATCCCCATCCTAATCCCCATCCTAATCCCCATCCCCATCCCCATCCCCTCCTCTCCCATCCTCATCCTCTCCTCTCCCATCCCCATCCCCATCCCCTCCCCTCCCCTCCTATTTATAGCCAGATGTGGGGACCAGAAGGCTGAGCAGAGCTATGAATTCATATACCTTCCCTCTTACTGCTCCCTGTGGGCACACAGCACAGCACAGCTCCCAGTCTAGCCCTTAATTGAAGGATTTAAAGTTGGAAAGGGTACATAGCCCATACAGAAAAGCCTTATCAAAATAATTCCTTGTAAGAAGAAAGATGTGATGTTAAAGTCACTTTCTGAAGGCTAAAATGGTTGCAAGCTGCTTATTTTTGCTTCTTTCCCTTATCTGGCATCCTTTTGCCAGCTAAAGACCTGGAAAATTTTGTGACAAAAGTAAAAGGGCATTTCTATTTCACATTTGAAACTCTGTTTTCACTGGAAGGCTCCATAAGCAAGTAAACTCTGAGTAGCAGCAAAGCATGATACTCTCTTAGCAACACTGTTTGTAAGTTGACAGTTTTTTATCTTTTAGCTTGTGTCAGGCAGCATTAATTTAAGTCAAAACCAGGGGTAAAGATACAGAGCAGAACTGTCTGTGTCACAAAGTCATTTCTATTCCTCCAGCTGTAGGCACAGAAGTTTCATATTCACACCTTAAACCATGGAAAAGTCTCTTGCCCAATCCAGGAGTGCAGGAAGCCCACACTTGGGAACATGAAACTGAGAGGAGAGAACTGAAAAGAAATGAAGAGAAAGGAGGGGAGAGGTTCGGTTCAGTTCGGAGAGGAGAGGAGAGGAGAGGAGAGGAGAGGAGGGGAGAGCAACTCTCAGGCAAATGTCCTTTGCCTCTTTGGGTTTTTTTTTCCATGTTGCTTTCTGTGTGCTTGTTTAAGTTTTCCAGGCTCACTTTATGCTTGAGGAATAATGCTGATGGGCTGGCATGGCAAATATGAGGAAAGGCTTGGGTCTGACAAGACAAAAGCCCTAATTTTCACTTAAAGAACAAAAAAAAACCCCGATGGTGCACCAGGTTTTCATTAGAGATATGTTTATTTTCCAGGAGAAATGCATTACCCTGCTCTCGTCAGTGTGTCCAGAGGAGCAGTTCCCAAAGTATGCCATGGCAAGTGGTTGGCAGAGCTCCCACAGCAGCTCCCAGGCCAGCTCCTGCCATCTGCTGTGAGCTGGGGAGACTCAGAGGCTGAGAGCAGCTGGCTGGCCCCAAATCCTGGTGAAGGTGAGGAGACAGCAAAGGCCACATGGTTGCCAGTGCTGTCAGTGATGACATGGAGGTGCTGGAGTGTTTCCAAAGACGAGCAAAGAAGCTGGTGAAGGGTCTAGAGCAGGAGTCTTATGAGGAATGGCTGGAGGAACTGGGGTTTTTTAGCCTGGAGAAAAGGAGGCTGAGGAGAGACCTTACAGTTCCCTACACCTGCCTGAAATGAGGTTGTGGTGAGGTGGGTGTTGGTCTCTTTTTCCAAGTGACAAGTGATAGGGTGAGAGAAAATGGCCTCAAGGTACACTAGGGGAGGTTTAGATCCGATATTAGGAAAAAATTCTTTATGGAAAGGGTTGTCAAGCATTGGAACAGGTTGCCTGGGGAAGTGATTGAGTCATCATCCCTGGAGATATGCAAAAGACATGTAGATGTGGTGCTCAGGGACGTGGTTTAGTGGTGGCCTTGGCACTGTTAAGTTAAGGGTTGAACTCCATGATCTTAGAGGTTTTTTCCAACCTAAATGATTGTGTGACTCAGCACACACCTCTGTGCAGTGTGTCTTCAGTTGGCCAAATTCTCCTGGAGCAAAAATGTCACTGTAAGGGTCAAATGAACAGGATGTGGACACATAGACACACACAGTGTCC